TCATATGTGGAATTTCTCGCCGGTCAGCTATAATACCTGGCGTCTCAGATAGTTGAGTTAGGCACTTGGTCAGCAAGAAAGCCTGTTGGTGTGCAATCGTTTCTCTGCAAACTTCTGTTTGAGGTAACACCCATGCTGCGGCGCGCAGATGGGTACCACAAAGCGATGAGTTCTGAAGTCCGGCCGCATGAGACTATTGTGGCCGGGGAAGGGGGCTATTTTACCTTTGAGAATAGAATGCGAAAAACGAAACTGATTTCCCAGGGCCTGAAATATCCTTGCCAAGCACTGTATATAATGATTCACAACATTGGCGGTCGTGACACTGGTTATCCCACTTCGACTGCTAACCGAAAGTCCGGGCAGGGCAGACTGTTAGAGAACGATGTAGCAAGTACTCTTTTTTGCATATTGACGGCATGCCTATAAAACATCTAGGTGGATTAATTACTTCATTAAATTGCTCAATTACTTGTTCAAGCTATTTTCAGAAACAAGGTTACCCTAGAGAGTTCGTGCGTCGATGCCTGGGGCGACAGGAGTTAAAACAAAAAGATCAGAGACTAGATTGTTCCGGTCAGGCGCTCAATCCAAGAAGTTGACGAACACTTCCATATATTAAGAACGTGTCTCAACTCATTGAAAGACAGCTGCGAAAGCACTAACTCCAAGTGGCGCACAAACCAACAACTAAACTGCGAAATCAGCTTGTACATCCTAAGGATAGGGTTTACTATTTGCACAGAAAAGAAGTCGTGTACAAGATTGCTTTTATTGGTAGCAATGCAGTTTATTGTGAACAGACAGGAAAATCTGCCTCTAAACGCCTACAAGAACACTAATGAGCACTAAAAGGAAAGAACACCCGTCCCAAGTTGCCATGCACACACTAGAAACTGGACACCGATTTGCATGGGACCAAACTTGCCTTGTTGACTCTTGCCGTCTAAGAAAGGTCGTGAGTTTTTAGAGGCCATTACGTCCGATGACTCGTGCATCAACAAGCACGTCGAAGTAGATACTGTTTACACCGATCTCAGAGAAGCATTGAGAAGACGGCAGCCAATTCGGACGAGATAAAGCGAAAAAACCACTACCGATCGCATGATTAAATGCGAGTGATGACTATTTCCCCACCGGCCTCAAGACTATATGCGGGTGACAGCCATTTTCCCCGCTGACCGCATAATACAATGCAGGTGATGATTATCTCCCTACACCCTGACCCGCTATATAATCCTGTGTTAGCCATCATTTTGAGTTAACTAGTTATGTACAACTAAATTTGTCTGACGACAACCTGGTGAGCGAGTGTTGAAACGTCACAATAAAGTTCGTTATCGTTTCCTAAAAAATTCTTCTACTAAGGTAAATAAATGTATACGTGATCAAGAAGTCACTTAACACGATTCGACTGGGCTTCTTGCCATCTCGGGGGTAAGGACCGGTTCAAACTGGTGACCTCGAGCCTCGAACTCTACGTGTCAAAATAGTCGCTGGTATAAGTTACCCGACTGTCATAGATACCATCCACGCAATAAACAGCGTTTGGCATTTTCATTTCTCTTTACCTTACAGTAATAAACACCATCATTAGCATCTGCCACTAAAATCTATACACCGCTTGAGTAGACCGACCTTTCATTGCCCCTCTTGATTTCCAAATTTAGCTTTAAATGTTTAAAATGGGCTCATGGGTTCACGAGTACTATTAACAGGTCATGTCATGTCGTCTGCAACATTCCCGACCTTCAAACCAGTCTGATAGCTAGTTATCATGGTCCTTTGTCAGGCTACGAGATCAGCAAGGAAAAACGAATTGGTTTGGATTTCGTTGAGAACTGCCGGTAGAGTTCATGTCAACTTCAAAGTATTCTCTCGATCAGATTTGCATGTAATGTATACGCATATCCTCGTCACGTTTTTTTAAATTTTCCACGCAAACGTATCAATCGTGGATGGGATTTTACTCAGAGATATCAACCGCAGCAATGCAATGCGCGATCCAAAATTGATCTACTTTCAGGAAAGTCCATGACAATAACTTCTATGTTTGATTCTAAGCTCCTAGTTTCAGTTTAAGGTTCCAAGTTAAAAAAGATGAAACGCCTACCACCCCATTGATTGCGAATGCCCATTTCGTTTCTACTTTCCGGTCTAGCGGAACGTCTACAATTTCTTATTTATGCACATATCAGGCCTCCTGACACCCTTGCTACCTATGGGAAACTCGTTTAAAATCTCTTATCTTCGCTAATTCCATTTAGGCTATTGCTGTCAGATAAGGGCAAGCAAGGCAGAAATTGCGTCATTATATAAGTAACTAGTTCGGACATTTTCCTGATAACAAAACAAAATATTACCTACCAGGGACTTGAAACGCTTCAACCCAGAACATGGGGTTAAATTTCTTTGGACAAACGAATTTTGATGATACCATGACTATTGTCAGCGCGAACAGTAGCATATTTCGATAAGCGTTTTATGGGAATGAAGCATATATATGCAGTTGGCTTCTTAACGATCGCTTAATAAGTCTCATTTTAATCAAAATAGACGTATCCGGCGAAATTTTATCATGAAAATCACCGTGGGAACATGACACCTTAAACAGCTTGGCTAAAATGCGAACTAACTGATGTCAATCGCTTCAGCATGCCGAGGTCCCCTAGGAGTAGTGCGCATTACCACCAATTCTACCAGTTCACAGTTAAATATCTGGGACAAGATCTAGAATGCTGGATATCCACTTAATCAATCTTCACAAAAACCAAGCGCTCGAGGCAAGATTAGCATTCTGTAGGCGAGAACGTTCTTAGTTACACGTGGACGACACTTACCTAGACAAATAGTAACAGGGCACCATGCAATCGAACAACTGCCCCCTTATTAGGTTCGAATAAAATAACATGATTATGCTTATATGCAGGGTTCAAGAAACCAGCGCACAGATTCCGGCACCGTTAATGTAAAGTGTTGGGTAAGTGCGATCTAAGTGTTTCGCACAAAGTAACGCAGTTAAATTTCGACAACAGATTGGCGAATGATTGACTGTGATTCGACATCAAGAAATGAATGACCATTAATTTAAACGGTGGAGGTAAGAGTTTCGCAAGGAGGAACAATAAAAAACAAAAGCAACGGTTGAGAAAAAAGTTTAATTGACATGTACCAAACCAGTGCAAATAGCAGTATCAAAAGTTGACAGTGGTAGCTCATGATTACGTTTAAGCTTCCTCCTCTTCTTCAAATTCACCCTCCTCTTCTGCCGTTGCATCTTGGTATTGCTGATATTCGCTTACCAGATCATTCATGTTCGACTCAGCTTCAGTGAATTCCATCTCATCCATGCCCTCACCCGTGTACCAATGTAAGAAAGCTTTCCTTCTGAACATAGCGGTAAACTGCTCGCT